GGTCTGATCTCAGACAAAGGCATATTTCAGAATTATTGTCATGTTAGTTTACTCTACAATTTACACCAGAGGTCATGGCAAGTCAGTATGACCTGTATTTTTGAAAACACATTATTGAATACGACACCCTCATGCCATGAGCCCGCAGTCCAGTCAGTACAGTGCCGTCTCTGAGCGTCTCTGAGCTCGCGGTCGGTTTGCTGCCCTCTCCTGGCACAGATTGGGATTGTCAGCTATGGGGACAAGGACTGCACGAACGGCAGCACGGGATTCTACGTCAACGTGGCGCGGATGATGGAGTGGATCCGAGGGAAGGTGGGGGAGGACCTGCAGTTCGCCTGAGCGAGCGCGCCCTCCCGCCTGGTCGCTACGCTCCCCTCTTCGCTCAAGCCCGGCCACCGGCTGCCGCCCCGGAGAGACGACTCCGTCCCATCATGCAGTCCAGCCTCCGCCGGGCTGTTTTTAAAGGCTACAGCGGGGAGACCAGCGTCAAACCCAGGACCATGATCCCCTGCGGTTCGAATAAAGGTGGACAGGGGGGAGGGGGGGCGACGGGAAACTTGTTTCCCATCAGGGTTTTTTGTACTGGAAACCAGATCTTACAAATAAAGCGCAAAACTGAAAGATGAGCGGCGAGGCGCGTGATTCACTGAGTTTGTGATCTCCAGTCTGGTTGACACGATCGTCATCCCTCCTCTTAAGGGCGCTCCGGCTCTTTCACATTTTTGATGATTTCGTGCACCTGCCCCCAGTCCTGCCCCTCCTTGTTTTAGCTGGGCGCTCTCGTTACTCCCAGCTCTGCGATGGAAGACGGACGCCCGGAGGCCCGCCTACCATCAATAATAATAATTAAAAATAATAATTGCTTACACTTATATAGCGCTTTTCTGGACACTCCACTCAAAGCGCTTTACAGGTAATGGGGATCCCCTCCACCACCACCAGTGTGCAGCCCCACCTGGATGATGCTCCAGTCTGCTCACACAGATCAGCCATCAGTGGGGAGGAGAGCAGAGTAATGAAGCCAATTCTTAGAGGGGGATTATTAGGAGGCCATGATTGGTAAGGGCCAATGGGAAATTTGGCCAGGACGCCGGGGTTACACCCCTATCAAGTCCCTCTACTCCCGCAGCTTGAGGGCACAGGCCTCCTGTCGGCGTCCTGACCCAGCTGAATCCGGGACTCGGAGCACCTGGCGTCGTCATCCCGTTTTTATTCCCCGTCCCTGTACCCGATCCCGTTCCGGTTTTTAACCATGTTTTGTCACGTCTTGGCTGGATCTCCCCGTTTGGACTTTTGGACTTCGCCCAGGATTCCCCCCCACCTGGACTCCTTGGACTTGTTCGCCCTGGCCACGCCCCCCCCGAGCCCCAGTTCACCATCGCCACGCCCTCCTGTCTGTCAACCTCTCCTGATCCTCGCCGTCCTGTTCCACGTACTCCCGGATTATCCCCGTCACGCTAATCAGCACGGACCAGTGGTGAAGGCGATCGGACCCTACGCGGTGCGGAGAGGGAACGAGTCAGAATTCCAGGGAGCTGGAACCGGAGCGAGGTCGGAGTCAGAGTGAGGTCGGGTATCCAGAGGGCCAGGCAGCGAGGTATCCAAGTCCAAAAGACGCGAGGCAGAGACGTGGTCGGAGGCAGCGCAGGGTCGGGTATCCAGTAGTCAGTATAGAAAGAAAGCGCACAAGAGGAAGGCTAGGACGATCTCAACAGTGAGCGAGGCGTGCGCGGGTCTCAATGAGGAAACAGGGAGCGCAGTGCTAATTGCTAACGGCGGCGCAGGTGTGTACGCCGGGAGGTTTCACGCGGGAGTGTGGTTCGTGACGATACCATCTGCACAGGGTCCTGAACTCCGCTTCATCACACTGGTTTGCTTGAACACCAGCGCTTCCCCTGAGCAGGTGCGGCCTGAGCTGGTCGCTCCGAGGTTTCCTGTGTGTCGGATTGATTCATCGGGGATCCGTTCACCTGCACAGGGTGTCAGGAGAGGTAGGCCCAAGCTACGTGCACGGTGCTTATTGGAGAGTTGGTATCGGATTGATCTGAGAATCCCATCCAGCTGTTTCTTGAGCCAGGGCCAGGGTATCGGCTTCAACAACATGGCTGGGCAGCTTGTTCCACACTCCCACCACCCTCTGTGTAAAACGGTGCCCAGAAAACAGTAACAATGATGAAATCATGTGATGTACAATACTACATATAATTAAATAGTTAATTTTGACAGGGAGTCATTAATATTGACAGGGCGGCGTAATAAACAGCTGGACCCTATGCGGAGGGTTTAGTACAGATCCGAGGGCAGAGCAGAAGGCTAAATCCAATATTCAAGGCAGAGGTTGAGAATCCAGAAAAATCCAAGGAAGGGAATAGACTGAGCTGGCGGCAAGCTGGCAAGCCTGGGACTCTAATACTGAGCCTGGAACAGCGAGACGAGAGGGTTCAAACAGGGCGGAGCTGGGGCGTGACTGGAGAATGAGGTTATTAGTGAGGGCGTGTGCGGAATGGGGTTGTAACAGAACCAGCCTGTGCTCAGGAGTCAGTGACGTGTTTAATCTCGACCTCTGACAGGAGGCAGCAGCACAAGGTCTTTATCTGAATCCCAGGTCCTGAAGACAGGATAGATCTTCTCCCCCTGATTGAAGGCCATGTCAGTGAACGTGAAGATGTGAGTCCTGGACTCCACTGTGTAAAAGGAGACCTTCCTCTCGTCAATATCCACACACACCTCCATCTCCACAGGCTGACGCTCAGGGGGGAGAGAGGTCTTAGTGTGAGTAAGAGCAGGGAAAGAAGGATATTCCCCATCCAGGCTTAAAACTTGGGACTGATCACTTTTCGAAATGTAGCAATACCTGCCGAACGGGACAAGACTGATGACAATGTCAAAGATTAACACTCCCCCAGAAACTGAGGCTTTACGTTTAAATTCTCCCAAATACGGACTCCTTTGTAGGTAAGTAAGTGATGTTTGGAATCTGTATGTGCAGACAAATCTACAAATCCTACAAAGTTGTTTTTTTAGCATAGTACAGTTCCCGTGGGAGAAAAAAAAAACTTCCAAGTCTTTATTGACATGAAAAACATGATTCTGAATTAACAAAATGAAGCCTCACTAACTTCATTAGCAAGTTTTGTAAGTAAGTTTTTTTTACTGATTTTTAACAACAGGTTATTTGTTATTCTACAATTTCCCTCACGGGATCAATAAAATATCTATCAACTATCATTTGGATATAGAATATTCATATTTCAGTGTGGTTATTTTATTTTGTATGATATGTTTTACTTACATGTTTTGAGGTGAGTTGAGCATACAGGACTGCTCCTGAGTTATTCAGGAAGTGCTATTGTACATTGTTTTTTTTTCCTGTTCTCTTCATTGTATTGGAGAGTAAACCTCCTTACCTTCTTGTTTTATAGCCGCAGGTTGTTTTGAATAAAGACACCAAAGTTAAAATGTAATAGACAGGTGAGGTTAGCATTGTGCCTCACAGCTCTTGGGTCTGTGGTCTAAGATGCCTGCAGTTGTCCAGATAATTAAATGAATTAAACTGCATTTGAAAAGCAGGGGGTGGCACAATGGTGCCGTGGTAAGCATGGCTATCTTGTAGCACTACGGCTCCAGGTTCAATTCCTGGGGTGCTGTCTGTATGGAGTCTGCATGTTCTCCCCATGTTTGTGTGGGTTTCCTCCCACAGTCCACAGACATGCTGGGAGGTTAACTGGCTTCTAGGAACATTGGCCCCGGATAGGCTCCGGCTCTCCAGTTACTCTGAATTTAATGAAGTGTAGCTGTCACAATATAGTGAACAGTGTGCAAGTAAGCCTGACGTCTTCAGCTTGTGTTATCAGGCATGGAGAGCACAGGCAGGTTAGTGACAGAGCCTGGGCTTGGGTTCGGCAGGAGGCGGGACATACCTGTCTCTGCACCCCTGGGAGCTAGGACTGGGATTTTTTGGTCGTGGCACTTCAGCTCACAGTGACTCTCACAACGTGAGGACCTGAGCAAGGAAAACATTCCTCCTCCCGGCGCCACAGGGAGGAATTTGTTACCTTGTGATTTACTTATTTTCAAACACCTTTTAACTCTTAACTCTTAACTATTGTAGATGCATCTTTGTGATATTAATATGAAAGAGACTTTTCACTTTTGTATCATTTAAATAAGATGCATAAAATCTGTAATCAAGTTGGTGGGGGGGGGTCATTAATGTGCTGTCATTTCCACATCTTCTCATCTCCTGTAACTGGTCCAGTAGAGAGCCCCCTGCTGTTGAGGTCTGAGTACTGCAGATACAGGCCAGAAATCCTGGGACAAGAAACTGGAGGATAGAGCAAGGTGCCTGTTTAACACATTGGAACTCTCTTATCTCTCCAGTCCAGCTCAAAGACATGCTGGTAGGTTAATTTCTTTCTGGGAAAACTGGCCCTGGTGCGAGTGTTTTTGTGGGTGTGTGCCCTGTGATTTCCCGTCCAAGTTGTGCCCTGCCTTGTGCCTGTTGCTTGCTGGGATAGGCTCTAGCTTACCCACAATCCTGAATTGGAAGAAGCTGTTAGAAAATCAGTACATGGATTCATCTTGGCAAAACTCATGGTGGATGTTCACTCCAGTGCAAAGTATTTGATCATTACAAACATCAGTCTATGTAATTGATTAAACATTTAAAGTTGCTTTCAGGTTGAAAATGGAAGGGGCTTATGAGCTGGAAAGTGTACCCTCCCACACTGAGATCCCCAGGACAAACCCCGGCAGCTGTAGAAACTACTTGTCTTGTTTAAATGTATACCTTTTTGGGACCTATTTGTTCAGGTAAAAAAAGATTTCTCTAAAGCAATATCTGTTTTTATTTTATTTGTTCAATACATTTTTAAGCAAATACGTCAGTATATGCTGCTCGCTGACTTCTCAAGCTGTGTGTGAGCAGAGCAAACAGCTTTATATGAAAGAAGATGAAATACCACTGATGTGCCCGGCTACTACCGTAATTAATTGTTGCCTCTAATTAATAGGAAGTACCTAAAGGAGAATTTTGTCAAACCCATTGTGAATATAAGTAAAGTATTTAGACTATTTGCTAAAGTTTAGGAAGTTAATATATACTGATGGAAAAAAAAAACGCAACACGTCCACCTCCACACTCCTGTCTGCGTGGAACAGGCTGAAGAGGACCTGATGCCGCTGCTGACGAGTTCATTGCAGCCTTTGTCTGGCCGAAGCCGGTCGGGTGTGAGCAGAGGGCCTCTGACAGGTCGCCTTGCTCTAAGGCCAGCAGCATGGAGCCTCACTGTCCTGTCACTGATGTGGGCATTGTGTCGGCCATCAGTTTCAGCAGCAGTACGGGTGCCGGATCTGAATCGATTTTCACTGATCTTGGTCGGTCATCCGTCCTGCCGGTCTGCTGAAACCTTCTCTGCAGTCTGGACACAGTGGAGCAGCTCACTCTATAGTGTCTGGCAACGCTGGCACGTGACACGCCTGCCTGCAGCATGCCAATGACCCTCTCCCTTGCTTCTGGTGACATTCGAGGCATTATGGAATGACTAAGTGTGGCCTTTTTCTTGCAGTGACCTAAGCTTTGAATTAAGGCCTTTTTAAAGGTGACCTGATAAGGCATTGTTCCACCTGGACCTCATTTGGTAAAAGTGCACCTAACGAGCTTTCGTGTGATTGGCAAGTTGCAATGCCTCACTGCACAAGCTGTATTGCTGGTCAGAGGGCTTAAAACAAATTGACAATTTTTTGTGAAAGTACATAAGTATTCTCATTCCAGAAAATGTTGGGTTTCTTTTTTCATTCAGTGTATAATACAGCTACAATATTTAAAGTTAAGTGAAAATGTTTGTGAAGGGTCTTTATCAGAATTCATAGGGATTAATAAGAATAACAAAAAATGATCTCTCTTAAAAAGTTAAACGAAATGAGCCATAGAAGAAACTGGTTTAGTACCAGCAGGGGGCACTAGAGACACAGCTCCCAGAGCCCCAGAATAGGTAGTCTGGCTGCTGAGAGCTGCTGGCTGGGCTTCACTTGGTCTCACACTGACCTGAGGAGGAAAGACAGAACGAGTGAGAGGACACAGCTCCAGTGGGACAGCAGAGTGAGGGAAAGGAGACTTTGCTCTTACTCACCGTCTCTCTCCCCCTTGTGGAAGACTTTGCCACCCTGCTCTCTCCACTGCAGAGTTGTGTTTCCCATTGGAGTGCGCTTTGACAGTTCCCCTTGTACCTGGAAACAAGTTTTAGGAAACTGCGCTGAGACCCAGAGCCTCTTCTGAGGGGACAGCCGTGTGTGAAGCAGCGCCGATACCACCACATCTCTGTCTCTGTGCTGCGGTGGAGGATGAAGCCCCTTCACAGTCACACGGCAATACTGCTCTCAAAGGTAGAGCTGATCGGCCCCCGGAGAATGATCTATACATTCTGGACAGGATTTGTTCTCCAGGGCCCTGTGTAGCTTCTGTTCTTACCTGCTTCAAAATGAACTCCTTCGCTGCAGGATCATTGGGATCCTGTCCGTTCTGCTGTCTCAGCTCAATCCTCAACACAGCCCTTTTCTCTGGGGAAAAAGAAAATAGGCTCTTCCTAGTGACCAGGTTGGTGTGATTCTCCCTAATTTGACCTCGACCATCTACAAAACTTGTGCTCAGCGTCAGAGTGCCACCGCTGTCAGAGTAAGAGAAGAATGTGTGTGGATATGGTCTTTTCCCTGAGCCCAGATCAATCTCCACCTAATTAGAAGGGCTCAAGAACAGAGGTTGAGAACCTTTTGAGATATCTGTGTGCACCCAACACCTTCTGTAAAAGGGTATGAATAGTGCTTGATGCCAGTAATTAAGCACACAGTACCTGGCAGGGTAACAGAGGCTAAAAGATTAAAGTTCTGGTCCAGGTCAGTTTTAAAAAAAACAATTGTGTCTCTTCACTCTACCTGAGTAACACATGAATGGGTGCAGCTCATGACAGCTCACATCTGTCCAGTACCCATCTGGACCAATGGTGGCGCAGGAGAGCTGGGTCTTCCAGTTGGCATAGCTGGCCCTCTTTCCACTGACCCACTGCCAGTTCTCCTTACCGTGGTACATTCCGATCCAGGACAATCCCGAGACGTAACCTGGAAGCTTTTGAAGCTGCTGGTTTTCCTGCTGACTGTAAATGGTGACCAGGTCCTTGTTCAGGGATCTGCAGTGGCTTTGGGCTTGACTCCATGACATGAGTGTCGACTTGAAGACACACCTTTCAGCGATACTCCTGGACCTGTCGGCTGAAAAATCCCATATTGAATGAAACAGAAGATGATAAAACCAATGATGGAACAGAACTTCCAGTGGAATCAATCGGTTCATATTCCAACATGTTTAGAAGGGGAGTTTTTCTGTAAGATTTGCTTGGAACACCAAAGGAAAACTAACGCCTGAAAGATATTTGTGCAGAATTCCTGTGGTTTCACACCCGACATATCTGCTTGAGGGTTCACCACTAATTGGTTTCTGTTTTTTTCTGTTCTTGATTTGTTCTTCCTTTCCTGCACTGCCCATGCTGTGATTGTATCTTTAACATTCTTGATAACTGACTTTGAGCATGGGGGTGAAGTGGTAAACATTGCTGCCTCAAAGCGCTGGGGCCACAGATCAAAGATATACTGGTAGGTTATTTGTCTCCTGGAAAAAGTGGCCCTGGTGTGAGTGTGTGCATGTCTGTCTGCCCTGCATTGTCTGTCCATTGCTTGCTGGGATAGCCTCTGGTTCCCCCACAACATTGTACTGGATAAAGCAGTTAGAAAATGGATGGATGGATAGACGACTGACTTTGCCAGCAGAGGCAGGTTTGGAATGGGACTTCTCCAGACTGAAGCAGTGAGACAGCAGTGCCGAGCGATGTCAGTAGTACTCATTTCCACACTGATGCTTGCTCAGAAATTGTTACAGTGCAGGCCGGTATAGAACAAATAGAAAGTATTTATATTTGGATATGTCACAGGAACTTACCATCACAACAGAAGAACGTATACATTTCACTACAGTAGTAGTCACGCCACTGGGCTGGTTCCATTGCAACACAGAGCTGATTTCTATTTAGGTTGTTTGGTTCTATTGAATTCCACAGTCGTAATGATGAGTTTCCCCCATCATCCCACTCCCAAGGATCGTTGAACAGCCCGATCCAGAAGTTGCTGCCTTGTGCCGTCGCTTTCACTGCTTGGTTCTCACTGGGGCTGCTGATGGTGACCAGGTCAGCGTGCTGCTGTCTGCATTGATCTCGAGCAGTTGCCCAGGTCTGACTCTGCTTAATCAGGGTGTAGGTCCTGGAGCCCTGGCTGGTCTCTGATGAGGAGAAGAGCAGGCGAAAGAGATGGTTTTATGTGTGGACGGGCAAGTATGACCTGAGTGAAGATCGGCCTCTAAGTCAGAAGGGCTTAGAAGTTAAGTGGAAGGAAAGATGAAAACTAAAAGAAGGTTTGCCAAATGGCCTCCAGTCTCTTGTAACCTTTCTTATTTTCTTAGGAAACCATTAAAGAGTAAGCAGGGAGCTCCAAGGTAGTGTTATTTCCCTCTTGATGCTATAAAGGCCTGACAGTTTGATTATCACTTCTGGAGTGTCTCTTTCCACATACCTGTATAGAGGTGTCTACCACAGTTAGAAAATATGACATCAAATTTTAGTGTAGTAGAGAAAAGCAGTTTCAAAACAGAGCTTGAGAACACAGTGAGATTGTCATAATCCTCACAGTTTCTTACTTCTTATCAAATGATAATGAAATGGCTGCATTCTGCCCCTAACGAAATTACAGGTATAAACAAAACTATTACTGTTCTCAACATGAATTGGATTTGTATTTGCAGTACTGAGTTTCATGTGAAGCGATAACATCAGCCTGAGAATTGGTTATTGACAGGACCTGGCAAAGGTCTAGAGTGGCTGAAACCAACCTCTTGTGCAGTCTCCTTGCTGGGGTTGAGGTTACATTTATAGTTAGGAGTTTTCATTTATTTCAATACAGATCCAAATGTCTCAATAGCCAATCAGAATCTTGGGTACGGGGCTAGATGACAGAATCTTTGCGAGATGTTATCAGATGGATAGACTTACCCAGCTTGAGTAAGCTTGATCAATTTAGTGAAGAAGAGTGGGCAAATATTGCAGTGTCCACTTATACAAGAATACTCACAGGTATAATTTCTGCCAAAAGTGCCTGTACCAAATATTGACTCATGGTGGCGAATACTTATGCAATCAGTTATTTTCTGTTTTATATTTACAATTAATGTAGGAGGATCTGTAGAATTATATTTTGAGTTTAACATTATAGAGTTTTGTCAATCAATGGCAAAATAATCCTAAGTAAATCAATTTTGATTCCGTACTGTAACACGGTAAAATGTGAAAAAGTCCCAGGGGGTGTACACTTTTGATAGCTACTGCAATTCATCTTTCAGCATAAGTATAGCCAATTGGAGTCATGGGGATACAGGGCTAGATGACAGAATCTGTGCATTGTATTGTCCACAGTGTCATCAGACTGATACGTTTCTAGTCCATAACTAATGACACACTTCAGGGTTCAGCAGAGGCAGAATAGCTCTGATTTCAGTGTTCGGGCAGTTGATCAGTTTTGAAATGCTTAAAAATTGAAATCCAGAAAAGAATTGATAAAATAATGAGGTATGTTACTATAATATAAGAGGAAGTCCTTAAGATCCTTAAGACTAGCTAATGCATTTTAAAATGTTCCCCAACAAACAGACTGAGCCCTTTTACACAAGTTGAATTGCTGTACACACAGTGATTCAGTGGTGGCACTGGGGCTTGAACCTTCCTTTTAGAGACATCTTTTATCTACTGGACAACCTTCATGTATGAGAAAAATCTACTTGTGTTCTCAATACAAATTTGAGTTCATTAGGTAGGCGGTGCTTTTGGTCTTGACATGAAATGGATTCAAAATGAATGAGAATTCATTTAGTTGTTTGTTACCACTACAGTGATTCTTCTTAAGACCTTTGACATTTCTCGGCTTACCTGTGGAGCACATGAAGTAGTTCAGGTTCATACAGAGTGTATCTTCCCAGGTGCCTTCATCGTTGACTTGAGCGCAGAAATAGGTACTCTTCCAGTTGTAGCTGGTGACTTCCTCCCCACTGGACCACTGCCAGTTTTGTTGGTCACGATACAACCCTATCCAGGCTTCTGTGTTGTTTCCAGCTAAATCTAACAGTATCTCTTGCATTCCTGCATTATTCACATCAGCCAGATCAGTGTAGGTCGTTCTACAGTACTGCCAGGCTTCATTCCAGGTCATTGGAGTTTCTACATAGTGGTATGTTCTGATCTGAGAGTGAGCCACTGCGCAGAGCCCTGAGGAACAAATCACACAAGTTGAGACTGTAACACCTGTTTTTCTATTATAAGATTTCTATTGTTTGCATGTTGGGGGTGTCCAAGTGCTCATAAAGTACCCTATTCTGAAAGGTCAAACTACGGGCATCCTCAGCTGTGTTTGCACAGCCGTCCTTTATCTGATTGTCTCACAATGACCTTCCCTTTCTGAATCCATGTTCTCCAGTTCTTCAGTAGGCTCTGCCTCAAGAAAGCTGTTGTTTTGTAAGTACAGTGGGGTCTCGGCATCTGTGAATTAAAGATTTGCGAATATGCTTATTTGTGATTCGTCTGGCCGACAGGGTCTTGGATGAAAGAGGAGCAGAATGGGATGGAACTGAGCTGAAGGTTGTTAAGAGCAACTTTCAAATTAGCAGAACAACAGAGTAAGAAAGATCGTGAGACGAATCTAGTGAGTGAGTGAGCCTCTCCCGGGACCCTGCCCAAGTACCCTCTACCAGTGTCTGCATCTCAACATGGTTGTGTTTTTGTACTGTAACAAATGCTCCTGGTTCAATGACGTTACAGGCTTCCTTTTTCATTTCAGTGTGGCATGATAATCACTGAGCAGGGAAATAGCTGGGAAGGCAGCTAAAGAAATTGCAGGCATCCACTGGACACAAAAGAGGGATTCATGTTGTTAAACTTATAACTAAGTGTGTGATTGCAGTTATTCCTTTTAGATGATAAGCATTATCTAAATTAAATTAAAGCCAATGCATTAGTACTTTAATTATCATTTAAGGGAGGCTTACATTACTCTTTTAATCATATGTACTGTATGTGAACTTGACCATTCGCTATGGTTCTCTGCACCAAACACTGGTGAATATCAAGACCCTACTGTGTCTGCTTCAGCTCTAATTGAAGTCAAGATTACTGAAGGTCGGGCCTCAGTTTCAGCTGAAATACCTACCCATCACAAATTTCAGACACACACTGCAGTGACAACATCTTGGAGTTCCCACTTGTCCGGGCCTAGGTTAGATCTCTACCTCTCCTTGCAGGGAGAATGCAAGGGGTTAACAGGCCGTGTCCCAGCTCCCTCCAGAGCGCAGAGTGGGATTTTGCATTGTTCCCTTAGTTACTGATGATTTGTCTGTTGCCTCTTTACTGGGAATTTGATTTCTTTGATTTGCATGTGAAGCTGCAGCTCTCCCCTCTATACAAGCCACTGCTGTTCCCCTATATCCTACACTCAGAACATTTGGTTATTTTTACCTGTCTGTATATGACAATCGTCTCGTACTAGGAATCATTTTATTGATCTTCTTTGAACATCAAGAATTATGCACCAAAACTGAACACAATATTCTGAATGGGATAGTATTAAGCTATTGTAAAGCTTGAGAATAAATTTCCTTAGTTCCTCTCTTTGTACTGTAAACCTCAGCATGAGTTTGCCTCTTTTATAGCTTCCCAGCACTTTCTTGATGAAGACATAGAAGACTCTACATCAATATGCAGAACGCTTTCATGTGCAGCTTTCTGCTTCCAAAGCACCCATGCAATGTGTATACCAGTGTGGATAAATTTGCACTACATCAGTGTTAAATTTCAAAGTGTTTGCCAAGTTCATAAGTTTGTTCAAGTCTTTGTGTTGTCCCTTTGCTGCTGTTTCTGTGTTTGTATCTCCCCTTGTGTTTGTTCTTCAACTGCTTTGCCAGCTGAATCCTACTCAAAGCCATGGAAGCAGATCAGGAAGAGCAACAGCCCTGTAACAGAAGCCTGCAGTGTACTCGAGCTCAGTCTGATTGATACATGGTAGAGATGGCATTGTACCCAAAAAGGCCCATAATAACCTGCAACACTGATAAAATGCATGATGCTGTAATAGTCACGAAACAAAACTATTCCTGTACACAGGGCCACATTAAGACTGTCACGGCCCCCTCCCAACACACATCACTCCCAAACAACAAACACAACCGTGCCCTACATGTCATTACATTTAAAGTTCAAATCTTGTCCAAAACGTTGTACAAAAACAGAACTTAAGACAAGTTAGAATCAAAACGAAAGAGTAATTTATTGTTACGGTTGCGAAAAGCCACCTTGGCCCTACATACGCATGTACAGTACAGAAGCATTTGGCCCAATTGGGAAGCGCCGCACTCTCAAATGGGCACAGCAGCACTTCGTATGCTTGTGCAGTCACAATTAATAGGCTACTGCAGGCATTGCTTAAATGGTTTTGTGGTGCTCTGACAGCAGTCTCTGAATAGTCCATTTCTGAGGGCTGTTCCTCTTACAACAGGGACACGAGGAACCAGCACGCAACTTGGTACACTTCATAAATCGAATCCAATCAATGACAAACCAATGCACCGCCGGGCGTTCTGGGTGAATTTAGGAACGCACCCATATGTGCTATAAAGCACACAGCACGTAGCCTGTGAAAGCAAAATGCAACATGAAGAAAAAAAACTACGTGAAAACCGTCTATGACAGCTACTGTAGCTACAGACTAATAAACAAAGGCATACGGTTGGCACAGAAATAATAACATCATGTAAACAGGCCTAATTTAGTCAAGTAATATTCACCTTAGCCCTCCTTCTGGTGTATTCTGAGTTGGCTTGCGATGTTTGGTGTACATCACAAAGCGAAGGCGGCAGGGCTTGGCGTTGAATCTGATAAGTGTCCAGAACTGGAACTGCCCAAGCGTGCTTTTTTTAAATGTCATTTGTT